AAAAAAAAAAAAAGGTTTGAGTGAGATTTTGGCATTCATTGTCTTGTAGATGTTATGGTGTTGCGAACCTAACAAAAAAGATAGTTAATGTATGGATGAATTGATTGTTGTGTAACATATTGTTTTTTTACTTCCAAATATAATATATTTCCGTTTGTGTGACAACTTTTTTGTTTCTTGATAATTAGATTTCTGTTAATGTATGGATGAATTGATTGTTGTGTATATGTTTCTTGATAACATATACATTCATTATCAAGAAACAACTTTTCTGTTAATGTATGGATGAATTGATTGTTGTGTATATGTTTTTTGATAATGAAATTTTTTGTTTTTTGAACTCATAATTTCTTTTCTTTTTAAGAACAATTTTTTTTTAGATCTATAACTCATAATTTCTTTTAGACGATTAAATATATGAAAAAGAGCCTAATTAACATTATACTATACGGTTACAAAAAGAAGGATAGATATTCACCCAAAAAAAAAAGAAGGATAGATAAAAATGGAGCAATAACTGGTAATTTAGCAAGGAGAACAAGTCACAATATATCAACATGGAATTAGAGAATAAGAAGGTTCCTTTTGGGAGGGAAGCATTTGGAAGGCAACTAGGCAAGTATATAAAAAGCTTTATGATGGTCTTGATGTTGGATGGTTTTGTAAAGGAAAAAAATTCAAAACATCAGGATTGTAAGAGTGCTAGAAAAACAAGAATAATAATTTTTTAGGGTAGATATAGAGAAGTTTGGAGGACAAAAATGATAAGATTACGCCCTAATGGAACAAGTCCATGCATATTTGGTTGATTTTGTTCTTTATTTTCTTTTAGGTTCTTTTGTCAAGAATCAAATAAAGAGAGACAATTTACTCAACTGAATCACGTATCATATTTAATCACGTAACAATTTTGTTTTGTTAGAAAAGACTAGCTTCACCTTTTATATAATGCACTGCAGGGATTCAATTGACAAACGATGATGGTTGGCTATTTTGGGAAGTAGCTAATGACAATTTTAATTACCACCGCCAGTGGAACATGGTACGGCCGAATTCATCGCAAGCAACCACAAAAATAAAAACATTCTGAAATCTCGATTTAACATCATCACAGACAGATCTGAGAAACCTTTAATAGAGAATAGGTACTATTTACATTACTTTGTTTCTCAATT